GAGATGGGCTAATTTCCAAAACCCTGGAGGACATCCTGAGCTCCCAGTGGTGTCGGCGGGAGCACGACCAGCCCTTTCTGAGCACTGGACCCAAAGGTGACGGAGGCCCAGCGAGACGAGGCCGTGGTGTGGTAGGCAATCCCGGGGGAGTGAGACCATGAGGCAGCATCTGCGTTTTGTGTGCTAGTTCAGTACCTGCCTGGGCTCAGGTGTCTTTGGGTCTACACTGCTGTTTGAAGAGGGTGAAAAGGGGTGCTGGAGCGCATGGATCAGGGCAGGGAGGCTGGGAGAGGAGGCTCATGCTCGGGAGGCTGGAGGGCAGAAATGGGCATAAGAACTGGGTGGGTTTTAGTGGGAAGAACAAGTCCAGTCCCAGTCGGAAGCTGGGAGCGGCTCTTTGCACAAGGGGAACTGGCTATGGGGTGTGGCCAGAGGATGCTTGGGGTGCAAGATGACCCCATGGAAGTGGAGTTGTAAAATGCAAGTGAACAACCAGCAAGTACCAGTCAGGGATAAATTCAGATCTCCGTCCCTTAAGCACCAGTTCCATAGGGTCCCAATGTCCTGCTGGGCTTGCTGAAAATAAAACCACAGCCATACAGCCCCTTCAAGACCCCTGAGGCTCTGCCACAGACCTCTCCAGTCCCAACTCATGACCCTAATGCACACGTGTCCACAGAAGGGACACATGGAATCCCATGCCTGACACATCTCTGGGCCCAGGCTGGGCCAGGGAGAATGGCTGATGTGTAGCAGCTGGGACCCTTCCCTCTGTGTCCATCCCCAATCCTCTGCTGTCCCAGCACCACTGCGGGCATCATCATCACCTCCTGAAACACAAACGTCACACTCGAGCCACCCTGCTCACCATGTTGGGCACTGAGGATGCTGTGCAGGTGGGATGCCTCCGGGGGCAGGAGAAGGCTGGGGCTTCTGCAGTGAGGCGGGGAAACAGCAGCAGGGACGCTATTCTCCCTGCAGCACTGCTGCTTTCCACATGGGCTGTAAAAGTGCAAGGGTGAAGGCCACCCTTGGGGGATCCAGGCACTGACACCCCGTTGCCACCAAGATCAGAGAAGAGAGGAGTACTGGGGACAAAGGATGTTCCTGTTCTGGGCCCTGACCCCTCCAGCCCCACCAGGGGAGGGAGAGGAGATGGTGAGGGGCACAGCAGTGATGCTTCCCCCATCCCCTTCTGAGCTTTGCCCTCCAGGTACCGTGGCAGGCTGCAATGGAGGTGGCTGCCCTGGAGTCCTGGTCCTGTCCTGACAGCAAACTGTCCCTGAGTGGGGGTCTGCCCCCAGCCTGGACACCCTCTTCTCTTGAAGCCAGGCCCTGCTGCAGGTCCTGCATGGCCCCAGCAGTCCCTTCTTGTAGGATCCAGAAGCTCCCCCATGCTCTGAACCCCAGGCCAGCCTGATGGTGCAACATGGGTGAGCACGGCTGAACAGCAATGCAGGGCCCCTTGCCTTGCACCACTGGCCACAGCAGCTCCTGGCTTTTTGCTCACCACTGCACTCCTCTGCAGACCCAGCCTGTGCCCCTCAGGAAGAGCAGGGTAGCAGCATGGTCTTCCAAGCTGGGGGGTGCAGAGGTGGCCAGAAGTAGCGTGTAGAAAAATGTGTGTGCACCTCTGGGACTTCGCTGCTCTGCAGAGGCCAGCGAGGTATTTGCATGCCCTTTGCCTGCATGGGTGGACACTGATGTGTAAACAGGGGCATTCGTTCTGCACGGGTGGGTGTGCATCCTGCCCTTGTGCTCCTGCCAGTGCAGGTGCCATTCCCAGGCAGGCAGCAGCCACGGAGGTCCCTGCAATGAGGCACAGGGAGAAGGTTGCTGCAGGAGTGGCACTGAGAGCTGAAAAGTGCTCTGGGCCAAGTGGTGTGTTCCTGTTCCATCAGCTCCTGGTTTCCCTCACGTCTGCTCTGTCTCCACCAGCTTATGCCTCATTTTCCACCAGCACCTTGTCTTTCATGCTCTGGGTCTTCACTGGGCTGTGGCCTCCTGTGCTCTGTCTCCCCTCAGATGCACCTCTGTTGTCATGTCTCATCCTGCTGGTGCTTCAACAGAGGGGAGGAACTGGAGCCATGCTGTTCGGGTGAGAGTACTCTGGGGTCCATTCATGCACCATCAGATGCAAGTAGGGCTCAGGAGGTCTCAGCAGTGCATTTTTTTCTGCCCCTGGGAGCCTGGGACATAGCACATCCCTGCACCACATGTCTGCTTCCCTCCTGCGTTTCCTTCATCCTGGATGCATGCCCATGGCTGGGACAGTCCCTTCAGTCTCCATCAGTGCTTCCTGAATAAGGCAAAGCCAGATGGGGTGAGGTGAAGTTCCCAGGGGCTCTGTCCTGAGTGTACATCTTGGTCCCAGCCACCATAAGTACATGCCAGTGGCATGTGGAGGTCCATGAGTGGCAGAGGCAGAGGGAAAGTGTTGTAGGGTTTTCTAGTGTACTTCCCTGAGCATGAGTACCTTGATGTTGTGTTGCTTCAGAAGCAGAGGATATGCTGCATCTCAGTATCTCAGCTTCTTCCTTTTGCCCCTGTGTATGGTCTCACTGAAGCACAGGAGTGACCAGGGCAACCAAACAAGGTCATTTTGCAAAGGGAGTGCATCTGCATCATTCTCTGCAGCTTTCAGGAGGGTTTCATGGCCAAGGCAGAAGCTGGCAGGAAGAGGAAGGGACTTACTGCTGAGGAGACCCCAAATCCTCTGAAATGGCCATCAAATCTCTTAAATCACACTGGGCCACAGATCACTAAAATGGACAGCACACAGGGAGCTCTTGGCCTTCATAAACACGTTTTTTCCACATCATTTTTGCAGCTTGATCTTGTTTCTTGGATAAAATCATGTTTTGGTGAAAGGTTCCCATTTCCTTTGGGGTAAAAAGACCAAAATCCAGCTCACAAAAGCTGGTGCTGCCCTCTGGTCTCCTGCCCATCATGCTCTGCGCGAAGGATCACGACATGCCTGTGGTGCCTCTTGGGTACAGCGAGGGCCTCTGGACAGCCCAGCTCTGGGGATTGGAGCCCCATTTCTCTGCACCTTTGGGTGCTGCTAGGTTTTGTGCTTGTTCCCTGGACCCTACAAGGTCAGTGGGGGTCCAGCTGTCTCCATGCTCTCTATCACAGGTGCCTGGCAGTTGGGCAAGTTGGGAGTGAGCGTGGGTGTCACCAACATATGCCCAATGACTTGCATGTGCTGGTGGCTCTGTGGCATCTGCCTCAGTGCCACGCGGAGCTTGTCCCTTGCTTGTCCCAGTGACAGAGGAATAGAGCAACAAAGAGGCAGCAGGTCTGTGCAGAGTTGGGCCGGCAAAAGACAGGAAGGATGGTCCCAGGGGTTTTCATCTTGGCTGCATCTTCAGGAACCCCTTCAGCAAAAAAACACCCAAATGGGAAGGGTGCCTACTACACTAAGAGGGCAGATACAGTTCCAGCCTCAGCCTTGCTGAGGAAGGAAGATCCTGTGTTGTCTGACAGGCTGATACTTCAGGAAAGAACCCTTTTGTTTACTCTGGTCCCTACTGAGGGCAAGTTTATTTGGCCACCTTGTTAAGTAATGCATTGCTGCTCATCCTAGGAAGACTTCTCAGTCAGAAGATGGAGGGTGGGAGGGAAGGGCCGTGCTGGGGCATGTTTCTCTGTGGTGTGGCTGTCTCTAGGCCCTTACAGGCAAGTTCTTTCATCCCACATAGAACTGGGAGCAATTCCTCAGTCAGTCCTCAGGCTTGATATAGACTCCAGTCCAGGTTTGCAGAGACTGTGGTACCTTGGGATCTGCTCGTAGGACAACGATGCTGGTGGCCCTTGTCTCCAGGATAAGCTTGCTTTGCTGCTGGCCAAGCCCAGCGCTTTGTTCTGGAGCTTGGGCCTTCTGATCTCCCTTTGGGTAAAAGGTGACACTGACAGGGTCTCCCATGCGCCATCAGTGAAGATGTTGCTCTGGCACACCGGCACCCTCTTGCACACATGTTCCTGCAAACACACAGGCATGCACAGACACACACCTCTTCAGCTCAGTGACAGGTAGTGCCGGCACTGCACGCCACAGGGATGGGGGGGGGGGGGTCCCTGGGGCAGCAGGGAGGATCCAGCAGAGTGGCTTCGGGGAGAAGGCGGTGGCTTGTGGGGATGCAGCAGGAGCCTCTGCAGCACGGCAGAGTGGGGGCAGAAAAGGAAGGAAGTGCGCAGTGTCTCTGTGCAGAGCCAGGGCAATAACAAACAGGAAGAGCGGCAGGGCTGTGGCAGGCAGCAGCGGGCATTGGCAGGAAGGATGTGCAGTGCCCCAAGGGCAGACCTGTCCTACCTGAGCCAGATCCTCCAGCGATCTTCCTCCCCAAATACACACCCTTCCCTGCCCTGCTGGGGAGGGGGAGCTCGTGTGTCATTCTCCAGGGTGTTCAGCGATGATCCCAGGTGGCAAAAGGGTGGCAGGGGGCACTCGCAGGGACCTCGGTTGGGGGGATGGTGCGGTGGCATAAGGACCACGCTTGTACACAGCCGGGCACTGAGGGTGGGAGGCACCGAGCCCTGGCTTGCCCTGCAGTGGGATGGGGAATGGCTGGTGCAGAGCCTGGGCAGGGTGGCGGGGATGGGAGCACTCATCCTGGCTCCCTGTGGGGCAGGTGGCGTCTGGCGTCCCCCGAGCAGCACTGCTGCACCACATGAGGCATCCCACCTCAACCCTCCTGCCAGTGGCCCCAGTCCCACGGCTGGGTCTCGCCTGTCCCTCCACGCACTGGCACTGGCCATGGCTGGTCACAGAAGGCACCGAGCACACCCTACCAGCCCTGCCAGAGATGTCCACGGAGGTACCCCAGGATTTGGGGGGAGGCAGGGCTGTGCCTGCAGGCTCTGGACAGGGGTTCGCTGGCGGGGAGAAGGGCTGGGGCTGCAGGCGGCCCAGTGGAGCCGAGCTGTGGCTATGTGGCCGGTATGTGTGTGGGCGGCAGGCAGGGTGGGGGAGAAGGAGGGAGAGGAAGCAGCAGAGGCAGCAGCTCCTTTGATAAGCAGCTTCCTGAACACTTTCAAACCGTGGTGTTAGAACGACACACGCAGCGCCCGCGGGCCTGTGCCGGGACCAAGGGGAGCCCACGCCGCGGGGCAGCAGGTAGGCAGCCCCCCAGCCCACCCATGCCGCCCACTGGAGCGGGGATCCCTGCCAGGCAGTGCCGGGCCCTGGTGCCCACAGGCAGTGGGCATGTGCTCACTGCCAGGCGGCCCCAGGCAGGGCTGGGATGCTGGGCAGGGTGATGGGGACACTCCCTGCAGCTGGGGACTATTCCCAGGGCCCTCCTGCCTGCCAGGGGATTTGCTGGGTCATCTCTCAGGTGCTTCCTGGCCGGTGTGCAAGGGATGGCTGCTGGGGTTGGAGCCTGCCGCTGTCTTCGGTGAGGATCTCTCCTGGTGCTGTGGCTCTTTGCCGCTCTTGCCCCGCCTGGCCGGGGGGACACTCTGGCAGCACAGGTCCCCCAGGGTGCCCTGTACAGGGCATGAGGATGGTGTGCATGGGAGCGGCGGCATTGCCACCCCTAGAAGTGCCGCTGGGCAGCAGGGAGTCATGGGGAACAGCTCCTGCCCTAGCTGCATTCCCAAACAGCACAGCCACAGCGTGGACCCAGTTCTCTGTAGGACCTCCCTGAGCTGAGGGGTTACCCAACATCACACTCTTTGCCCACCAAGAGATCCAACCCCGCAGCATCCCCTGTCCCTTTGGGTCCATCTCCTCCTCACTGAGGGAGCTGGGGATGAGAAGGACACTCACAATCCCAGGATGCTGCCTGCACCATGAGGACTTCTGCCTAGAGGTGAACCATCATCACCTGCATCCCTACCAGGGGCTGTCCCGGGACTAATGGTGATGGAGCTCTGGGACCCTCCTCTAGCTGGGCTACCTCATCACCTCTTGCTCAACTGCCTAGATAAAGCAGTTTCCTCTTGACGGTTGCTGAGACCTGCGGGATGGAAGAGGCTGTCCCAGGGTCATCCCTCCCTCACCAGAGCCATGAGGCTGCTGAGGGTGCCTGGCCCTGTATCTCCCAACATCAGGAGCTGGCCAGGCTCCTTGAGGTGCCTACAGCCTCATCTCACCTGCCGAATGCTGCCGTGCTCATGCAGGTCCCAGGTCTCCCTCCTGCCGCTGTGTACCCAGGCTAGCGCAGGCATGCTGGGAAGGGCTGGAAACACACAGCAGCGTGTGCTTCCCATGGAGGTAGAAAGCATCTTGGGTCCCTCCCCCCCAAACCAGACCATGCTCCACCAACTCAGGGCATGGCTGTCCTCCGGCTGGTGCAAGCTCATGGCCATTGGTACCATGTCCAGCGTCACCAGTGGGTGCCTGTGTGGGCTACGGTGTTGCAGGCGTCCTGGAGAGTGAATATGCTGGGACCTCTGCTTTTGCCAGCCACCTGTGGGGCCCTATGCAGGGGCTGCGGGTTCTGGTTCCAGGGCAGCTGAGAGCATAAAACCTGTCCCTTGATAAGGGATCATCTGTTGGGGGGTCCACCCACCTCACAGTATCTCTCAGATCTGCCTTTTCTTTTCCAGCTGCTTCTCCTCCAATGGCTCCTTGATTCCCTGGGAGCTGAGGGGCCACCCGTATCCACTCCCTGTGCCTCAGGACAAGGGCTTTGTGGCTGCCACAGCATGGTACAAGCCTGCTTGGTGTGCTCCAGAGTTCATAACGGCAGCCTGACAGCCCAGGCAGCCGGGGCAGACATGGACAAGACAGACAAACCCAGTCCCTCTGTCAAGAAGCACGTGCGTCTTCAGGAGAGGTGAGCATGGCTGGAAGGTGCCTGCAGCCCGAACCTTGCACCACCCGGCTCAGCCCAGACTGCGGGTACTCATGGCACTGCTCCTCCCCAGGGCTTAGGCTACCCCAAACCTCATTCCCCCAGCCCAGCCCTGCCAGCCTGCTGCCTGCCGACTTGTGTAGAAGCCAGGTCTGAGCGTGGAGGGAGCCCTGACCCTGCCAGCCCAGCCCAGGCCAAATCTAAACACCGTTCTTTGGGGGATTTCCAGCAAAAAGGCAAAATGACCAGCTAGTTCCTTGTTCCTCAATCCACCCATCTTCTGGGGTCTCTACCTGGCCTCTTTCTTCATCCTCTGTTATTCTCTGCCTGGCTTTTGCTCAGTGTGGGGTGATTTTAAGTGATGATATGGCAGGATGGGCTGTCCCGGGGTGGCAGAAGGTCAGCCAGGGACCCTTTTGCCTTGCAGGAGGGGCTCCAACGTGTCGCTGATGCTGGACATGAGCTCACTAGGGAGTGTGGAGCCCATCCAGCCCGTCTGCACGCCGCGGGACATCACACTGAAGTTCCTGAGGACGTCCAGCCATGTGCTGAGGAGAGAGGAGCTCCAGCAACACGCCCAGAGACTGACGCAGCTCCAGGAGGAGTTTTCGGTGCAATGCTCCCCTCCCATCTCCCTCCTCACATGAGGGATGACAGGGGCTGGTGATGGGGGGGACTGGCAGGGGTGACATCTTCAAGGGAGGCTCCGGGCCCAGCCACAGCACAGGTGGCAGGGAAGGTGATGTGAGCAAACAGAGGTGATGGGTCCCCTGGGTAATCCCTGGCTGCCTGCTCCCAGGTGCACACAAGTCCCATTTGTGTCCCTGGAAAGCCTGTCCTGCCCTTCCGTGCCAAGCTCATCTCCCAGAATAGCCTCTGTGTAAGGTGTCCCACCACATCTGGGGTAAGGACAGGGCTCATCCCAGGAGCTGACATCTCTGGTGATGCTGCTAGGTCCCTGCATCAGCTTCTCATTGCCTTGGGGACCAGTTCTGCCATGATGAGGGGACACAAGCAGCAGCAATGAGATTTTCCTCATACTTGTTCTCTCCTCCTGCAGAAAATTCCACCCAACTTTGTCAGTCCAGAGGAGCTGGAGATCCCTGGACGTGCCTCCAAGGACAGATACAAAACCATCCTTCCCAGTATGTGCCACTGCATCCCTTTGCCTCACATTTGCCCAGGTGCCACGTGCAGGGAAAGGGGGGTGTGTGGGTGTGTGTGAGTGTGTGTGCATGGGAGAGGGGTGACTGAGAGCAGCCCTGGCACTGGGGTGGGCACTTCTGGGTGCTCTTGGTGTTCCTGACATGCTTGTTCCTTCTCCCTATGTTGCGGGAGCTGGTTGCCGAGTTGCAGGGGGTGTACACTGTGTTATGGGGTGGTATGTGGGGACTTACTCCTTGGGATGTATTCCCAGGGTGTGCAGCACATGACAGCCCAGCCTGGATTGCTCCCTGGCCCTGTGGGGCCTTACATGCCCCAAGGGCATTTCACTAGGGGGGCATAAAGGCTGAGGACATTATAGGAGAACTCGTTTGGGCTCTTGTCAGGCACTGTGGGAAGGCTCTGGGGGTCATCACCTGGAGGGTCTGTTACCCGACACGCTCACTGTGGTCCAGGCAGGTTTGGGCATGAGTGGATGTACCCTGCCATGGTAGTGAGGGTGGAGTGGGGCAAGAAGGGGCCTAAGGGAGGGTGCAGACAGCTATGAGCAAAGCATGGAGCTGGAGGACTCAACCTTCAACCTCTGGAGCTGAGGCAAAGAGGATTGGCAGGATCAGGCTCTGAAAGACTCTCCCTGGTGTAATGCCTGCCATATCTTTCAGATCCTGAGAGCCGGGTCTGTCTCAGGAGGGCAAGGAACCAGGAGGAGGACAGCTACATAAATGCCAACTACATCACGGTGAGTGTCATGCCAGGTTGGAGAGCAGGGTAGTCTCCCAGGTCCTGCAGCCCACAGCTCACGAGGCATCGGGCTGCAAACTCCTTGGTGCTGCAGGTGCCACCCTGGGACCCACATGCTGGGGCACTGATTGTCACCCGCTGTCCCGTGGCTTCCCCGGGGTAGCACTCTGAACTTGCCACCCCTTTCTGAGCTGGAGACATGTGGCTCCATCCACGCAGGGCAGATGCACCGTCACTTTTGGTGGGAAAGTCTCATGAGGTGGCTGCTCTCAGCTCCCACTGCTTGGGTGGATTGAGCACCTCTATGGGCTCCCTCACAGTGGCTTCTCCATCTCTTCCTCGTGCACTAGTCTGTTGTCTGGCAAGGCCACAGGAGGCAAACCATGTCAGCAGAGCAGCGCAGCCTTGTGCTGTCCTACCCTTACACATCCAGAAATTTCCTCTCCAGTCAGAGGGTTTGTTGCAATTTCCCAAGAAGAAAACTAACAAAGGGGAGGGCATGGCTTATCTTTGACAACTGGTGGGGTCCCTTTCCAGGGACTGAGGAATCCTCTGACCCAAGGGTGTTACTTCAGGCAGCCTGATTAATGATAATCACCCTCCTGTGCAAATGACCCCCTCCAGGCTGCAGACTCACTTGTGCTGAACTATATATCACCCTAAACCAGGCTTTTGTGTCACTCCGCTACCAGCTTTGCCTGGATAGTAGGCTTCTTTCTGAGCAATTTGTCTCATTTCAGCATCCTTCTCCTTGGGCCAGGCCAGGGGTGCTGGGAAGCAGAGGTGGGTCCACAGCCACTCTGGGTGCATGGCAGTGAGGAAAGCGTGGGAATGTGGAAGTCAGAAAAGTAGCCCACAAAAGTGCCCTCTGATATGATGGACAGACAGGACATTTATTAGTACGTGTTTTCCAATGGTGCTCATAGGTGTGATCCAACAAGACAGCAGTGGTGTGAGCTGCCAGCATCCTGTGGTGAGGGTCAAAGTCTGACTTTGGACACAAGACCACCATGCCTAAAACTGTTGGGAGGCTTGCTGGTCCAAATGAGAATTTGAACATGGGCAGCAGAAGACTAAATTTAGAGTAGTCTTCCTGAAGTACGCTGCCAGTGTGCAGCTTCACATTGGGTGACACCATGACCCTGTCCACATGCTTCAGGGTGTACATGAGCACATGGCATCCTCTCTGTCTCACATGAGTGCTAACAAAAATGAAAAAACACTGACCGTCCCTGTCTCGCACATATGTGCACATATATATGCACACACTGAGCACACGTGCCCACACATCTCTGTGTGGAGCTGGTATTTTCTCACTCCTTCCTTCCACTTACCTCTCCAAGGGTGTCACAGTGCAGGAATTTGCTGCCACATCATCTGATTAGCAACCCAGCCTGCTTCTGGCATGCTTGGGAGGCAAAGCGAGACAGGCAGAGTTCTGTGAGTATTTGTTCACATCAGCCCCTACCTGGAATTGAATGTTTTTCCTACTGACTTTATCCTGTGAAATGTTTCTGAACATGAGGAGCAGTTGGGGGGGAAATTCCCAGTCTTGACACCTTCAGGGCTTTCTGCAACTCTCCTTCTGAATGGAAAATCATGTTTACTAGGAAAAACAAGTATTCTTGAGGCATGAGAAAAGTGATATACAAAATGTTCCTAAAAATGTTCCAGTCCATTGGCTGGGCCAGTGCACCTAATTGTGGAACTAAGCTGTTAACAGGATTGCTGGAAAGTCATGGATTAAATTCACAGGAGTTTGGGTGCATTTTTAACTGAGCTCTCTTTTGACGAAGCCATAAAGCTCTGCCTGGATTGCTGTCTTGCTTTTCCAAAAGCTATGGGCACTGTGCGTGCCTCCCCCAGCACCCCTGGGGCATCCTCAGGCAGGTCCCTGACTCCTTGCTCTATTGCCAAATTACATCTCCAGCTGGGAGCTGGAGTAACATGTCACTGACACTGGGAGGCTCTTCTACACCTCTGCCTGTGCCTGCCCTCCAGCTCCTGCCTGCTCCCCTGTGCTGGGCCAGCAGCACTGCCTGTGAGGCCATGGTGTGAAGCAGGACCCAAGCAGGACTCAGAACACCTCCAAGCTTTTCTATTTCTTGGCAATTTTATACTGAGGGAGGAAGTGACTGTGGAGGCAGAGGACGCTTGGAGCTGTGAAACAGAGCCTAGGGCAGAGGCAGGACAGGGACCTATGCAGGTCACTCCTCCAGGTGTCCCCAGCCCCAGTGCTGGGCACTGCCACATACCCTCCTGAGAGTAGCAAGGAGGCAGGACTGGTGGAACTATCCCAGGTCCCAGCCAGATCAGGTCTTGATGACTTCTCCTTGTCCTTAGGGAAATGTCTCTGGTAAGAGGTGCCCTCCCTGCATGAGCTCTGCTTTGCTAAGGTGTCCATCATGCTGGCTATTGTCACACCAATAACCTGGGGATGCTTGCATGGAGCTTGTGTGCACATGGCTTGTGGGAACAGGAGGATGCAGAGGATATCTGGTAGCATCTGATCACGTCTATAAAAGAATTTCAAGTACAGGTTTAGTAAGAAATAGCCTGTATGGCTCAGTCTCTCACCTGTAAATGAAGACAAGCACCACGAGAGCTGGGGTGGCCTGAAGACAGGCTCCCCATGTATGTCAGGGTCCCTCACAGTGTCACTGATGGACCATGTGCTCAACAGGGCTATGCGGGGCGGCCCCGGGAGTACATTGCCACCCAGGGACCCATGCTGAACACCGTGACCGACTTCTGGGAGATGGTGTGGCAGGAGGAGGCACCCCTCATCATCATGATAACCAAGCTCCAGGAGCGCAAAGAGGTACCATTGTCCCTCCCCAGGCACAGGCACAGCACCCCAGCCAGGAGCAAAGGGTGGTGTAGAATAACAACAACAGCAAAGGGTTATGCGAGACCAAATGTGGGGTCTGATAACCCTCTTGCTTTCTCTGCTTTGCTCTCAGAGGGTACCCCTGATTGAACACACTTGGAGGAGGAGAGCCCCAGGGCTGCAGTCTTGGTCCCATTCAGCAAAGCCTCTCCTCCTCACATGGCCTCTCATGCTCTGGGCATGCTTTGCCATCTGGATACTAGGATAAAGAGATTAGGGCAACCTCTGGGGGAATGGAGCAGAAGCAGCCGTCAGCAGTGTCCCTCCAGCCCTGAGAAGCTCTCCTCCTGGGCTGGGAGCTCTCAGCTGGTGGATCCAGGCAGGGATGGGAGCCGTCGGCATTGTGCCTTGGGTGGCAGCCACCCTGTGCCTTGGCTGGGATCCTTGGCTCCCCATCCAAGTAGCACCAGCCTGGGGGAGGTCACCCTCTCTTTCCTAGCCATGTCCTGCCTCCCTTCTCTCCCCAGCTGGTGCAGCATTCCTGTGCCCTCCACCAGCAGGCTGGGTCCTCCTGGGTCTGGCAGGACACGAACTGGCCCATGCTCAGCTCCCATGGGGCTGGGGAGAGCTGTGCAGGCCTGGAGTCTGAAAGTCATATGGCAGGGCATGGAGAGGGTGTGGGGGGAGCAGGTGTGGGGAGGGGGGTGTATCCCTTCCTTATCTTCCCCTCTGTATCACTCCACATCCCCACACCCCCTCAGGTTGTGCCACTTCCCAAGGGCACTGAGTGAAGCATAGCTCAAACATCCAGTGGGTGCCTTGAGCATCTCCACAGCCACAAACCCTGACTTGTTCTTTCAGAAATGTGTCCACTACTGGCCCGAGAAGGAGAGCACCTATGGACCCTTCACCATCCGTGTGCAGGGAGTGAGCGAGTGTGTGGAGTACGTGATCCGGGATCTCTCCATCCAGGTGGGCTCGAGCTCCCTCCTGGGGTCAGAGGGGGAGCCCAGCAGGGCCCAGCAGTGCCCCTGACACCCCCGGGCTCTCTAATGTGATGGCAATGTTGTATGACAGGAGAGAAGAGGGTTCATGGCTTGGAGAGCTGGGTCTTATGAGCCCCCCCGCCAGAGGAGGGGTCTGCAGAGCTCCTGCCTGCCCAAGGAGGCTGAGACGGAGCAGGACCATGGGGGGCAGAGGAGAGGGGGTCAACTGGGGAGAGCTTCTCTACTAGCCCACTGTTTGTACTGTGGTATTGGGCTCTGCCCCATGTGCTCTCTGTAGTCACCTTGGGCTGACACTAGCCAAAAGGATCTTGCTGTCTTTGCCTGGACGGTGGGGACAGTATTGGGACACTGCATCTGTTCCTGTCTTCTGGGATGGGATACTTCACAGTGTTCCTAGTCCAGGGGTCTCTCCTGGGTGTCTGGCAGAGGCTTAAAGATGGATTTGGGAGTAAATCAAACGAGATTGGCATGGGCTGCCTGACCTCTGCTTCAGCTGGACTCCATGACTTCATTTAGCCCAGCCCAGTAAGTGTATGTTGCCAAATCCTGATTTCTCTTTCTTCTGTGCTGGAAAAGCTTGAAGGTGAATGCCGCCAGGTCAAACACATCCTCTTCCCTTCCTGGCCGGACCAGCAGACACCTGAGTCAGCCAAGCCCCTGCTACACTTGGTGTCCAAGGTGGAGGAGACTCTGCAGGCTGCAGCCAGCCCAGGGCCCATCATTGTGCACTGCAGGTAAGAGCTTTCCCCTGACCTGAGCTCCTGTGTGTTCTTCACCTTGGGATCAGTCTGCAAATGCTGGAGGGGAAAATCCCACATGCTCATGAGCTGGTCCTCCTGTGGTGCAGAAATTCCAGGGCACAGCATCCCCATAGCAGAGTTGTTCAAGCAGCAACTCCTGTCCTGGAATCAGGATGGTAGCATTAGCATGGTGCACACTGTCCTGTAAAGAAATCTGGTTTGCACTCGGGTCTGTGGACAGCGAGATGGGAGCAGGAGAGGCCTGTGGATTTGGGACCCAGTCACCAGATCCACAGCAGATCCATGGCTCGGAGTCCTGCTTCCTCTTCCACTGAGCATGGTCTGCAGCTTGGCTGTGAAGCTGTTTTTCAGGGCAGCCCTCCTGGAGGAGGTCGCTTCTACATATTTTCTCTCACTGCCAAGTGAATTTGGGGACAGTGGAGCAGAGGTGCCTGGTTGTGCCTATGCAACACACTCAGCGTGTGATGCTGCAGGCTAGCCTGCCTCAGTTCAAACAGCTTGGTGCCTAGGGTTAGAGCCCAGCTGGGAGGGGAGGTGAAGAGGCCCCTGCACTGCACAGGGACAGGGGGCACAGGCTGGTTTTGTGCTTCCAGAGCAGCCTCAGCTGGGCCATGCAACAGAGCAAGACCCCTTGCCATGGCAGAGTGACACCAGCCCGTGACTTTTGGTACCTGGCTAAGAAAGTTGGCTTGGCAGCTGGGACTGGAACCCTGCCATTTCTCTAGGAAGAAATCATGGCAACAAACCAATGCAGGAGTGTGTCCAGCTTGGACAGATTAAGGTCCAGGCAGTGGATATTGTCAGTGCTCAGCACAGCTGTGTCTGTCCCGCAGTGCAGGCATTGGCCGGACAGGCTGCTTTATCGCTACCAGGATCGGGTGCCAGCAGCTGAAGGACACGGGGGAGGTGGATATCCTGGGAATCGTGTGCCGCCTCCGCATAGACAGGTGGGTGCTCAGAGCTGGTGGCTCCCTGGAGGGTCCTGCTGGGTGCCAAGCTTGGGAGGAGGGATGTGGGAGGGATGTGGGGATGGACATTATGAGTGAGATGGGGACAATATTTGATGGAAAGCAGAAGGGTTGCTGAAAGATGCAGATGTGTTAACAGCAAATGATTCCCCAGTGCCAGGCTGGTTTTGCTGTCAGGGCTATTGTAGCTCTGTGGACCTGAGGAGATGAGAGGAGAGTGGCTCCGAACCTGGAAGCTGGTCTGCTCCTTCCAGCTCAGCCAATAAATCCACAAACACTCAATTTTGCCAATTCTCAAGGAGTATTGGTAAAAATTAAAGCCAAATCCGTTCCTAATCCGCATTTTGAACAGCCCAGCAATGTTTCTGAGCCCAAATACTCTTTGGGCAGCTCTGGTGCCTGTTTCAGGTCTGGTGCCTGTTTTCTGGTACCTGGACATGGTGGGTGAAGCAGGAATATTTGTGCCCCGGGAGCAGGGAGCAAGGGATGGGGTTGTAGGCTTCAGTGAGGCGTCAGTGGGACCTGCCTTTCCTTTGCAGAGGCGGGATGATCCAGACAAGTGAGCAGTACCAGTTCCTCCATCACACACTAGCTCTCTACGCTTCCCAGCTGCTGGAGGCTGAAGGCCACTAGTGCAGGGCTCCCACCAGGCTGCCAGCTCCCTGCTCTGACCTCTCCTGCACCAGCCTCGGGGACACCTCCACCAAAACCACTCCTGCTGCTGCCAGGACATAGAGCAGCAGCATGAGCATCCCTCAGGATGAGCACAGACAAGCAAATGCGTGGGGATCGTGGCCTTGTGACTCTGGGGACGAGCAAGGTTTGTCGGGTTCACATGAGGGATTCAGTGGGTGCTCGAGGTGGCCATTGCTGCTGGCTTGAGGCAGATTTCACCCATGGAAAGAAGCTTTGGCTTTCAAAACATGCAACATTTTATTCTCAACCAGAAGAGCAAGCTGTGCAGAGGAACTGAAGCTGGGTGAGCACCAGAAGCACAGTTTGCCTTTTAGCTGCACAGAAATGTTTACCCTGTTAGACACAGAGCTGGTAGAATTACCCTGCAAATAAACAGAGCCACTTTCCTGACTGTGTATCGTCTGTGGTCAGAGGCTGCACGGTGTGCAGGGCTGGGCTTGCTCCAAACACACACCAGGATGCTCTTCTGGCTAAAGATACACCTTGATGATTTAGTACAAAAGGTGCACAGTTGGTTGCCTTTGTTATGAGGCTTGCTTTCCTCTCCACCTTCAGCCAGCACCTTCCCAACAGCCTTAAAGTAGGGAAGATTCCTAAGTGTGTTTGCAGTTTTGCAAGCAACGTGTTCTTGATCGTCTTATGTTACATGAAGGTGGGATTTTGCATTCTTGCATTTTTGCTGAAATCAGAACAAAATAATACTTGTGTTTTGTTCTTTTTTTTTTTTTTTTTTTTCACTGATAGACTCAGGGAAAAAAAGAAGAGGGAAAAACATTTTGGTACAAAGCATGGAGATGGAAATATTCTGTAAAATATTTTAAAGCTATTCAGAAGTGGCCTTCAGCCAATGGGCATTGCACACCCTCTTGGGCAGTGAGGATTGATAAGGACCTGGGGGCTGCCTAGCCTGTGCCTGCCCATGCCCACAAGCTCTGATGTGGCCTGTGCAGTGGATGAGACCCAGAGAACAAAAGGTCAGTCCTCTTGCTGAGTCTGAGCTTGGCTCGGCTACCTGAGCATTCCAAGATCAGGGCTGTATGCATGGACCCCCCTCCACCACGCTGTGGGTCCACAAAATGCAGCTGAATGGCTGCCTAATGGTTTTGCCCTGGTGCCCGTTGTTCAGCCTCTGTGGTTATCCTGGGAGGAGAAATGATTGAACAAAAAGAGAAGTTTCAGCCTCACCTCTGGAGTTCTCCTGACATGTCATCAGTCCATCAGTCCATGAGGGGGGATCCTTAGGCCTGTGTCATCTGCCCCCAGTAGCCCATCTTCACTGCTCCTCTCCTGCCCCTCTCTATAAAAGCAGTAACCCAGCAAGTGAATCAGCCTTGTCCAGGGATGGGTAGTGAGCCAAATTCAGCTTCTCCCTAATTTCACTGGGCATAATAAGTAGCAAACCCAGTGGCAGACCAGGCATGTCCCATTGTGCAAAAATACCCAATATTTCAGAAATATTCATGTATTGTTGAGCCCTGGTAGTCCTTATTAGTCTTTCTCATGTGTTTGTAGACTATCCAGGTAGAGTACTTGCCAAGGCACTTGCTATAGCATAATAAAGCCATGTTAAGCTTCTGCTCACTACAAGGAGCAAATCCTTTTGGAAAAACATCTTGGAGAGTGAATGGAAGAGTGACAGTGAGAGACCCTCTGCTAGCACAGCCTCCTCCCATGGCACCAGGAACAAACCCACTCCCTGGCCCTGCAGCAGAAAAAAAAACAGAACTGAAGTAACGTACTTCCACCTGTGGTGTCCGATCGCTGCGGCAGAGCAATGTCCCTGTACCTGCTGCCAGGTCAACCCTTCCTCGTGCCACAGCCTGCCCAGCCAGGTGCTGTGAGGGGGGCCTTGGTCTCTGCAGGGCTCCTGCCTGGTGACCAGGCTCTTGGAGAGACTGCAGAACCTCCACAAATCCCCTGAAGGTTAAAGCACGGCTCAGGGACTTTGTCTTCTTGGTTAACTTTATGTCACGGTGTTGCTTTTAATGGTGTCTCTGAAGCCACTGGTAGAATTTTTGAGTTTGTCTAAGATAGGCTTTATTCAGCTGGCCCACAGTATCTTCCTCCCCGAGTCTTTCCTCCCCACTTTGCCATCAGGCAGGGGAACTCAAAGAGCCTGCAAATTGCACCAAGGCACAGTCTTTTCGTGCGCTCCCTGGACAGCAGCACGTGCACCATTTTTCTCATGGTTTTGGTTTATTATCAAGAGCAGGAGCAGCGCTGGGACCAGCAGCTGGGCAGGAGGTGTTGTCACCCCCTCTCAGATTCCCCCTCAGTTGCTGGGAGTTTTGCCAGTTCACCTGTCTGATGCAGATTATGACCATTTAAGCAGTTTTCCTGTCTTTCAATCTCAATTTCTACCAGCTCTATCTGTTCAAGATGCTTATCAGGCCATTACCACTGTACTATCCAGCCTCTGTGTATTTATTTCCCAAGCACTCCTTGGGGCTATGCTGGGCTATTGCCTGCATTATTTGAAAACCCCATCCTGAGGTTCACCTGATGTCAGGGGTGAAGCAGGGTGTTTGATAAGGTCTGACTGTGTCAGGCTTATATCTATGTCCTGGGAAACTGCTTCACCCTGTCCATAAAGATCACAGGATGCTCAGCAGGCACAGGAAAGGAATCACTCCAAAATCTTATGTCTTCCCATGCCCTGGACTGAGATTAAGCACCTGAGCTTGGCCAGGGGCTTCAGCAGGATCAAGATTGCTCCTGTTCTCACTGTTAACCCTGGTATAGACCCAGCTCTCTTTTTCCTTCTCATGGTGTTTCTATGCTTTGCTGGAGGTGCAGCCTGGACAACCAGGCAGGGAGCTCTGATACTGGATGCCCTGGACTGCAGACTCCTGCGAACCATGTCCCCAGGAGGCCAGGTCCTTCACAGGCTTCAGAAAAAGTCCTTGCTCCACATGATTGTAATTTTGGTCTGGGGTTTCCCAGGCTGATAATCCATTTCCTACCTCTGTGACAACTCACACTGGAGGATGCCTAGGATGGGAGAAAGAAACATGGTGGCCACATGGTGCACAGCACTGTAGTGGTACATGCAGGCATTGCTGGTGGCAAGGAGACCCAAGGGGCTCCAAATTCACTGCAGCTGATGAAGAGCGCCAGTGCATTGCACGGCATCCCCACTGAACATAGCATACCGCAGCAGGGCACTGTTTTGGACAGTTTCTTGGAAGAGCAGATCATTGAGGTAGGATGTGTCAAAATCCAGGGGTTTGGGGATTCAATAACAGCTCTACACTCAGGCGAGCAATGTAACTACAGACAAGTACCCAACAGCATCCTCATGGACTCCAAGTAATCAATGACCAAGCCATCACCCAGAAAGGAGAAGTTTCAAGGCATGATTTGACATTTCAAGGCATGATTTGTCATTTCAAGGGCAGCACTGGGACCCCAAGGGCTCACAGAGGCCCTGTGAGAGCACCAGCAGCAGGTGGGACCTCATGGAGAATGAGGTCCACCCAGCAGTACCTCACCCAGCATCAGAAGGATGGATTGGCCTGGTGACTGGGAGCACCAGGGACACTGTGGGGCATGGGAGTGACATCTGTTCATGCTGGCCTTTGGTAATCCAGTGGTTAAACTGTGAGACAGCGCAACACGGGGAGTAAGCCATCAGTTACCCACATTAACATGGGCACAGCCCTGACAATTCAATTTCTTTAAGGAACTTGGTTGAGCAACCACATCAAAACCTTCCGGGAATTTCAAATATGCTCTGGTCTGGAGAGGTCCTGGAGCGGTGCTGGCTCTTGCACAAGATGCTCTGCCTGGTCCCATACTCCTGGCGTGGAGACCACAGGGTGACACAATGGGGGACAGTGCTGCAGAGGTGCAACCAAGGGGACTGGATCTGGCTTGTGCATCCCCATGTGTGCCACCACAGCTCCTCTGCAGAGAGCAGAGCTTGGGACCCCTGGTTCAAACCACTGGGAAATATTCAGATGTCTCCAAACCTGCTGGAGCTAGAGTGAGACCCTTCCCTTGCTGGGGATAAGGGAAATGGGGACGGGTGGAGGGGGAATGGTACAGGAAAAGGGTCTTTTTTTCTCATTTGCTCATGTCTCTCCCAGCATGGGGATGGACTTGCCCAGCTCCTGTCTCTGCTGTGAGGTGTGTGTTTTGTTTGAACACTGGATGGACAGTTTCTCTGGCAGGGGCTGCTATCAGGAGGCAATCTCTGCTAACAACTCAAGTGCCACAGGCATTTTGGGTGGGAAGCCCCAAACTGGTGTAAGGACATTCCTGGGGCTGGAATCTGTTTAAAAAAAAACATCTTCAGGCAGAAATTACACACAAGAATTGAAGGCTGATGATTTTTTCAATGGTATGAGGAGGAGCTACAATGGAGTAATTACAGAAAGCAACAATATTCCTGCTTCCTTAGGCCTACCTTTGAGAGCACGGGGATCTTCAGCAGGCTGCAGCATCTCTGAAAGCAAAATGTTTTCTGTCTCCAAAAACAAAGGCAGCTTTCCAGTGACTTACAGCACATGATGGAAACTCTTTCCCACCATTAATTGTCATGGGCTCTGAGATACCCACTGTGAGGCAGATCCAACCACAGCTCAGTTTCCCTCTTTTCTGCGTGTACATGTTTGTCTCAGGCAGCCAGGCAGCCCCAGCAGTGAATTCAGCATCCTTGTCTCTTACGGGAGAGTGAGCAACCTCCTCTGCATGTGGGTTCATCCCAACAACTGCTGGAATAAAGGTCCTGCCTCTTCACCCCAGTGTAAGGGAATTGCAAATGCCCCTGTGTGTCAGCTCTCACTTTAGGACTGGCTCAAATCCAGCCTGGATGTAACTGGGCTTTGTTTGCATTGCACAGCTGGCCAGGGCGGCCGGCAGCAGACTGCCCTGAGAGCTCAGCATCGATGTGGAAGGGCAAAGCAGGGTAAAAGCACAACCAGCACAAGTACCTAGAGTGCAGGAGCAGCTTAGCACCCCCTTGCAACTCAGCAGAGCATAACTGGGTGAAAATGGGGGGGGGTGTGTGAGGCTGCGAGGCCTAAGCCGATCTCTACAGGCTTATGTCATAGCAGGCTGTATAAACATCCTATAGAAACATCCCCTGAGAAAGTCGTGCCTTTGGATTGTGTCTTGTTCTGCATGTGGAAAAGTGCTCATTGGCTCTTGTCACATTGCTCTTGGGCTCCTGGCTCTGCAGAGGTCTTGTCTCGAGAAATCAAAGAGTGAAAACACAAAAGCACATGCAGCCCATTACCTGGGGAAACTGAGGCCTGAGGGCAAAGTGCCAGCATCCAAATCCACAAAACCAGCTGAAAAGAAAACAGCCAGTGGATGAGTTCCCCTTCGTGCCCATGATATCCCCTCACACTCCCAGTGCACTGGGGCTGGGCCTCCCTCATCTCACTCGTTAGTGTCAGCTGAGTCTCAGGAGCTAGGGTTCCCGAGGGACCTCACCCTCACCACTACTGGTGTCACGCTGCCACACCAGGAGCGTCCAGCACTTGTGCACCACCACTATCAGGAGCCCTGAGGAAGGGGCACCTGTGGCAGAGGGGTGACTCCTGCTATGCCACCCAAGATGCCTGAGCCCCTGGCCAGGCATGTTTTTCCCTGCTGTGGCTGTCTCTCGGGCAGGTGATAACAGGGGGACTGTGGCATGGGCTGCAGCAGGGCTGGAGGGCAGGGGAGCAGCCCCACAGGCTGCGGGTGCCGGGGAGCCCTGTGGGACCTCTGAGTGTGGGGGGGAGCCAGGGTCCAGGAGAGGAGAGGTGTAAGGGTGCAGGGTTGGGGGCTGCCCAGCTGGCATGGTTGGAGGGTGCAGGTGCCAGCTGCTGCAGAGGTCCTGTCCCAGGGTGTAGGATGCATGCCAGCCAGTGCTGGGGCCCAGACACGCGCTGCTGTGTGCAGGCTACTGGGTGCAGGGGTCACTGGGTGCAAAAGGGCACAGAGGGTGCTGGGGGTGTGGGGGGTGCTGGGTGGTGGGGATTGCAGGGCACAGGGGTCCTGCACCTGCATGGAGCAGGAGTCCAGGGTGCAGTGGTGCTGGAGTTGCAGAAGTCCTGGGGTACTGAGGGTGCAGGGAGTAAGGAGTGATCAGTGCAGGGGTGCTGGGGGTGCAGGGGTGCTGGGTGTCTGCATGCCAGGTGGGGGCATGCAGGGGTGCTGGATGTGGTGGATGCTGGGGGTCACAGCATGCATGCATGCCAGGGGTGCAGAGGGTGCTGGGGGTGCAGGGGGTACTGGGAGTGCGGGGGTGCGGGGTACAGGGGCTTCTGGGGGTACAGGGATGCAGGGTGAGGGGGGTACTGGGGCTGTGGGTTGCAGGGGGTACGGGGGATGTGAGGTACAGGGGGTACTGGGGTACAGGGATGCAGGATGCTGAGGTGCTGGGTGCAGGGGGTATGGGGGATACTGGGTGTGCGGGGGATACTGGGGGTGCAGGGGATGCGGGGTTTGGAGGTGCGAGGGATACTGGGGGTGCAGGGCGCGGGGTACAGGGGGTACTGGGGGGTACTGGGGGTGCGGGGTTCGGAGGTGCGGGGGATACTGGGGGTGCAGGGTGCGGGGTACAGGGGGTCCTGGGGGTGCAGGGGATGCGGGGGGTACTGGGGGTACTAGGGGTACCGGGTTCGGGAGTGCGGGCCGTGAGGCCGCGCCGGGCCGCACAGTGCCTGGTGCGGCGGGACCTCCCATCCGGCAGGGGGCGGCACGGTCGGCAGGGCGGCGCGCGGGCCCCACCCGGCGCGCGCGGGGCGCGGGGCGGTGCGCGGCGGTGCGGTAGGAGGGTACGCGGCGCGCGGACAATACCGGGGCGGCGGCGGCGGAGGTTCGGCCTTGATCGGCTCCGCTCGGCCCCGCTCGGCTCCGCTCGGTCCCGCTCGGCTCCGCTCGGTCCCGCTCGGCCCGGCCCCGGCTGGCCCCGCTCGGCTCGGTTCGGCCCCGCCCCGCCCCGCTCGGCCCGGCACCATGCTGGCGCTCTTCAACAAGCTGCTGGACTGGTTCCGGGCGCTGTTCTGGAAGGAGGAGATGGAGCTGACGCTGGTGGGGCTGCAGTACTCGGGCAAGACCACCTTCGTCAACGTGATCGCGGTGAGCGCCGGCTGCCCCTCCCCGCCCCCCCCCCGTGCCGCTGTGTGTGGGGGGGGCTGCGCTGTGCACCCACCCCCCGTCGCACCCTTGTGCCCGGCGCCCCCCGTCACACTGGTATTGCACCCCCCCTTCTCACACATACCCGGTTGCTCCCCAGAATTGCTCCGTCCTATCGCGCCCGAGGCCGGAAATATTGGGGGGGGCAGGCTGTGGGGTACGGCGCAGGCCCGGGCGAGCCCCGGTGTTCGCTCCTCGCGTCCCCGGTGCCGGGCGCGGCGGCCGCAGCCGGACAGGCCCCGGCCCGGGCTCCGCCGTTGGGAGCTGCCGGGTTCGGAGCAGCCGCCGCCGCTGCCCGGGGTTGCGGGTGCCCGGGCCCCGGGGCCCGGGAGAAGCTCCTGCCCTTGTCCCCTTCGCAGCAGGCGCTTTGTCATCGCCGGGCCCTGCCGCCACCGAGGGACGCGCAGGTGGGGCCTGCTGAGGACCTTGCCGGGCTCGGCGCCACGGGGGGTTTTCTGCTTGCTGGCTGGTGGGGGAGCTTATTTGCTTTGCGACCTCTGTCCCTTCCAGCAGCGGTGTTTTGTGGGCGGTGGGTGCTGCCATAGCAGCACGCGCTTTGCACCCAAACCGGGCGGCAACGCCTGCCCTGGGGACCCTTAAACCCCACCTTCTCCCTGGCTGTGCCCCCGGAGCAGGAGCTGGGGGCCCGGTTGCAGTTTCACCCACGGGGATGCTCAGCGGGGTCTCCTCTCTTGGTTTTTGGGTGGTTCTTCGCCTTTCCAGCCAGGACGCTGTGAGGTGGCAGCCACTGGTGGGCAGATCCCAAAGGGGCAAGTTTGGGCTGTTGCTCCCCGTGGGTTTTATGGAGGGAGGTGGATGCAGGTCCTCTGGCTGTCCCAGTTCCCCTGTGGTCCCCCTTGCCCCTGTTGCTTTGCTTGGTGCCTCAGCTCCAAAGCAAAGCGAGTTATGTCTGATTGCTCAGGACACTGGAAGCTGCTGGGCTGTCAAAGGTGATTTTGCAGCTAATTTGGAAGCTTCATTGTGCTACAGCCATGCTCCCCAGGAAGTTTTCCCTTTGTGCTGGGTGCTGCAGGGACAAAAATGTCCTTCCTGAAGTACCGCAGGGGCAGAGGGAGGACACCCTAAAATGCTTTTCACTCCAGAGACAATGACACTCCTGCTCCTGAGCTGTGTTGCTGGCAGTCACCATGCAGCATTGGGATGTCATGCTGGTTGTCCCAGCAGACCCACACCAGCCTCAGGGGACAGGGAGCTTTGTGGCTCTGGTACAGTGACCATGAGCACCAATCCTCTTTTGGGGTGACTTCGTCCCCACAGTTTGCATGGTTAATGGTTGTATTTTGCAGTCCCATGTCAGGGTGGGACGCGGTGGTGCCATGTATGGACTACTCCTGCTCTGGACCTGCAGTACACTGCTAGCCTGTTAATAGCAACACAGGCTGCATTCAAAATGGACAAGTAATTTAGTGCCTTTTCGTATAACCAGATAAGCTTTAAAGGGTGATAGAGCTTTATCCCATGGAGCTGTTTTGCCTGCACAGGGCTAGTAATCGCTGAGCATGGTACTCATCATCTTGAAAAGGCTCTTGCCAGTCCAACTCCCCTTTCCCCACATGCCTCTTCCTCTCCCAGCCATGTCTGTAGACATGGGGCTCAGCATGGGCTTTGGTGGGGTTCCAGCTTCTGCAGATAAATGCTTCATACCTGGAAATTTTGCTCTGTGCAAGATCCCACATGCAAGACCTGTGCACCAAGAGTCTTTCCTCTTAACCAGTGTTGCTGGTGTAGGGAAAAGTGACATCCAGGAACTACAGTAGCTCTCAAGGGAAGATCTCTGTGCGTGGGCTGAAGCTGGCTTTGTGTTCTGCTGGTTCATCAGGTGGTCTGTAGTGGGGTGTTTAACACCCTTGCAGGGCACTCAGTCTCAGGGTGATGAGCAGTTTGCTGTCTCTGCTGCAGTTTTGCCCCTGTCTGTGAAGTTATTTGGAAAATTCAGATTTTGTGGCAGATGCACATAAAGAAGAGGCACTGACCTTCGAGAAAATGTAAATTAAGGACTTGTCAGGGACAGCTAAATAACGACACGCAGAAAATCTCAACAGAAACTGCATGAGAAGCGTTTGAGCTGTCTGGCTTTAAGGTGATGTAATGGCAGTGTTAGAAGGGTAAATAGTTGTGATTGGGGCTTTGGGGAGGGGAAAAACCTGAACTAAAAAGTATTGGATTTTCGTGTTGTTGGAGAGATGTCCCAAGAAATCTTTGCGGGTGCAGGTGATGCTCCCCAGCGTGCAGAGCGATGAGGGTGTTGGGGCTGGAGCTGCTCTGGGGGGGGGCTTGGTGCCATCCTTGTTTTCCAGGAGTTTTAGCTGCATCTGGCTGGAAAATGGAATCCAGTTGCCTGGATGATTGGGTGGTTTCCTACAGCAGCCCAGAGCTGTAGCCATGCCAGGTGAAGGCTTTGCTGAAGGCAGCCACAATCAGGGGGGATGAGTCCTCCTGGGACACCTGACTGGGTTTTTTATTTTTCAGGGCTCATTTTATTCTTCCCTGGCTGTCTGGAGCTGAAGCTTGAAGTCCTGTGTGCAAGGAGGAGTGAAAGGCTGTAAAACGCATCTGATCTTGGTTTTAACTTGAAGCTGGTTGGGCTTTTAACTGCCTTTTCCCCAGTGTGGGCGTGATGAGAGTGAGACTTGAGAGTGTCAGGAGCCCCTCAATGGGTACTGGGGCTCAAAACTCATCAGTGTAGGACATGTTTAGAAAAAGAGTGGTAGAGAACCTGTGCTAGAGACCCTTCCAAGGGAACAGGGCTGCAGAGACTTGGTGCTGGGTTGTCAGACCTGTGTGGTGGGGGGTCCTGGGGCAACATCCTGCAGTTGGGCCCCGCTCAGGAAGTGTTTCAAATCCATGCTGCAAGAGGAAACCGCGTCAGCCTCATATGTGGCATCAGGTAGCATGATGGATGCTGTGGAAGCTGGCCAGCTCTCTGACAATACTGCCAATGGAGGCACATCCCGACAGTGGCTCGGAGGACCACAGAGCTCAGTGCCTGCTCCCGCCTGATCCCAGCGAGCCACTGTCCCCCTCTGCTGACCAGCTGACCCATCTCAGCAGGATGTGCTTGGTGCCTGAGCCTGGGAGGGGAGACAGCATCTCCAGGTCCTGCAAGGTCTCCAAGGATTGCTGGGGAGGTAGAGGGGATGCTGGTGGGGGTGCCGAGAGAGAAGCAAGGAGATCTTGTTCTGATGCATTTTTGCCAGCCTGTGTGGCACCCACCTCCCAGTAACTCTGGATGTACCCCTTGCATGGGGTCTGGCAGGGCCAGGGTGGGGTGGGAGGTGGATGTGGGTCCTTGTGGTGGGTGGTTGTTCTGCCTCCAGATGCAGAGTCTGGGCCCTCGACAGCTCCTTCTGTTGCACCTGAGATTCATAATGCAGAAGGCGGTAGGTTTTGGGGTGGGGGTTTCTTCATGTTTCTGGAAGAGGAGGAGAAGCTGGCTGCAGCATGGTCTTGCCTTGATGCTGCAAGCTCTGTTGGCATGGGCCATGAAAAAATGAACAGTGAGTTTTTTCCAGGATCATAGGGTCGTTTGGGTTGGCAGGGACCTTTAAAGGTCATCTAGTCCAGCCTCCCGCAATGAGCAGGGACATCTTCAACTAGATCAAGTTGCTCAGAGCCCCGTCCAACCTGACCTTGAATGTTTCCAGGGATGGGGCATCTACCACCTCTCTGGGTAACCTGTTCCAGTGTTTTACCACCCTCATCGTAAAAAAGTTATTCCTTGTATCTAGTCTGAATCTACCCTCTTTTAGTTTAAAACCATTACACCTTGTCCTGTCACTACAGGCCCTGCCAAAAAGTCTGTTCCCATCTTTCTTCTAAGTCCCTTTTTAAGTATTGAAAGGCTGCAGTAAGGTCTCCTCGGATCCTTCTCTTCTCCAGGCTGAACACCCCCAACTCTCTCAGCCTTTCCTCAATAGCAGAGGTGTTCCATCCCTCGGATCATTTTTTTGGTTTCCTTTAGACCTGCTTCAGCAGGTCCATGTCCTTCCTGTGCTGAGGACTCTAGAGCTGGATACAGCACTGTGGGTAGGGTGTCATGAAAGCAGAGCAGAAGGGGAGAATCCCCTCCCTCAACCTGCTGGGCACACTGCTTTTGATGCAGCCCAGGATATGGTTGGCTTTCTGGGCTGTGAGCCCACATTGCTGGCTCATGTCAAGATTTTTGTCCACCAGTACCCCCAAGTCCTTCTCCACAGGACTGCTCTCAATTCTTTCATCCCCCAGCCTGTACTGATACTGGGGGTTGCCCCAGTGCAGGTGCAGGACTTTGCACTTGGCCTTGTTGAACCTCATGAGGTTCATAGGGACCCACTTCTCAAGCTTGTCCAGGTCCCTCTAAATGGAATCCTGTTCCTCAGGCATGTCAACCATGCCACTCAGCTTAGTGTCATTTCCAGACTTGATGAGGGTGCACTCGATCTCACTGTCTATGTCCCACTAATGAAGATCCTAAACAGTACTTATCCCAATATGGACACTGGTCCCAATACAGACAAGTAATGCCTGAGTGTGAGTTGCATTGTCCAGAGCAGAAACATAAGTAGGTCTGAAGGGCTTGATCAGGGTTATCCAAGTGAGCAGTGGCATCATCTCCCTTCTGCTTGTCAAGAAACCCCAAACAATCCCATCTGCTTGTCCTGAAGAGCAGCGTGTTGCAGAGCCATGAGCTAGCTCCCTTGGGTGCTTCAGGATCGAGACCGCAGCTGGATGTAAGCACCAGAGGTGGATGTACCCAGCCCAGCATCCTCAGCACCAGCCCCCAGCTTGCTGCAGTGCTGTTCAGCCCAGAGATGCTCCATGCAGCCCACATGGGTAAAGCCACTTGGCTTGCTCCGTGTGTCGTCTGTGTGTACTGGGGGTAGTGGGGTCTTGCCTGCAGTCTGGATTTTGCCAGAAGAGGCATGACTGCGTTGCTGCCCACC